ACTTCTTCTTCCCTCGCCGTACAAACTACTTTCTCTCTCCACTTTAATACCCAATCGTCTTTCTCTCTCTAAAACTTAGTTTTTCTTCTTCCAATTTTCCGTCCTAATCCCCAAAACCCTGTGTATTTGTGAATTTATATATGATCAGCGTTGTGTTAAGTAATTGAAAATTTAATTTCTTCGTTTAGGAATAGGTTCTAATTCAATGGACGCCGGAGGAGGTTCTCCGGTGCCGGAAATAACACCGGCGCCGATGCCTAGCTCAAATGCGGTACCACCTTTTTTGATGAAGACTTATGATATGGTTGATGACCCGAGTACTGACAAGATTGTTTCGTGGAGTCCTACCGATAGTAGCTTTGTGATTTGGGATCCACCGGAGTTCGCCAAGCAGTTACTGCCCAAGTATTTTAAGCATAGTAACTTCTCCAGCTTCGTTCGTCAGTTGAACACTTATGTATGCATTTCTCTTGGTCTTAGTTGAGTTTTTTCTGATTTAACTGTACTGGTTTTGGGTTATTTGGTGATTTTTAGTTCTATGCTTGGCATTTATTGAATTTTTTGAGCTGAAATGTTAATTATTGACTATTTTATTTTTCAATTCGAGTAGAAAGTGGATTGTTATCGAGAAACTTTGAATTGATAGCGACAATATTTATAGGATTTCTTTAGTCTTGATTAGTTAAAATGTCATTTCACAACATCAGGTGATATTTGGTTGCTACATTTTTAGTGGTTTCATCCGTAAGCACGCAAAAATTCTTTAAAATAATTGGCGGCGGTAAGACTTGATCCCATATCTTTGTTTGCTCTGCTACCATGTTCAAGTGTAACGACTATCTTATCTAAAAGTTTAAATTGCTGGAGAGAACACACTTTTATTTATTTACTTAATTCTCTTTCATTAAGTGCATATTAATTTGTATTCAGACTAAAAGAATTTCAACAAGAGCTACAAGATTTGGACAAAGTAACCCTTTTTGTTTTCTCTACATGGTGTTACTACTGAAAATGGTAGTCAATCAGCCTACAGTCCCTCCAGGATATGCAGAGTAAATTTCCCTCTAAGAGATGTCCATTCTTGTGGTGACTGAGTAATCTATATCCCCAAAAGTATTTTAGTCATTGCTACTCTTTCGTCTAGAAGTCGGTGAAAGAGTCTGTTTCAGTGCGTTAATGTTAGGAAAAAAGATTTCCAACAGTTAATCCCTTCTTCACCAACTCTAGTGATGGTAATATTATTAATGTATACAGCTAGATGGAGGCAGTATATAATGTTGATAGAAGAGAGAGCATTCAACATGCTAGGGTTCAATCCAGATTCACATTTTACTGTTGTGGACTGAGAATGCAGAAATAATGTTGACGTGACACACACGATGATATCTGCACATGTGGCCTGTGAAGTTACGAAACATTGAGTGATAGGGATAGTGATGTCACACGTGGGTGCATGCATCAAAGAATAGTGAGCTCTTTGGGTCACTATGTTAGTCTCATCGACTTGAGGCTCCTAGTATGTCAATTCACTGACTTGTTGATGAGACGAAAACAATTCTTTTTATACTATAAATGAACTTCTTCTTAAACTTGCCAGATAACTTCAACGATAAGTGTATTGCAGATGTCTTTCCTCCTTATTTTGGTACCTAGTTAAAAAAGAGACGAGCACTACTTGTTTTATAATCAAAACTCAATACTAAGTGGTTCCTTATATAGGAGCTATTAGACAATGTGTTATTTCCAAATGCATCTTAAGTTTGCATAACTCTTAAGCTTCCATCTCATCATACTTGTTCTTAAGGCTATAGATAATTTCCTGTTCCTTTCTGCCTAAAAGTTGATTTGGAGATAAGGTGCTATATTGAGTTTGAACAGAGCTCTAATTATTTGTAGATTTTCTTCAGGGTATTAAGGTAAGGTTAGCAAGTCATAATGATTATGTGAAGTCACTTGTGAAATATCCTTTTTCTTTTCCTACTTGACTAATTAACCCATGTTAGAGTAATATTTTAATAGTGAACCTCAAGTCAGGCTTATAATATTTCTCTTTCTTGTGCTACAAACAGGGCTTTAGAAAGGTTGGTTCCGACCTCTGGAAATTTTCTAATGATGGATTCATAAGAGGTCAAAAGCATCTGCTTAAAAATATTAGCAGGCGCAAGCCTGCTCATGGACAGCAGCAGCAGCAGCAGCTGCATAGTCAGAGTGCGTCAGTTGGGGCTTGTGTCGAGGTTGGAAATTTTGGGCTTGAGAAAGAGGTTGAGTGGCTGAAAAGGGACAAGAATGTGCTTATGCAAGAGCTGGTTAAGCTGAGACAACACCAGCAGACTACTGATAATCAGATGCAAAACATGGTGCAGAACCTTCAGATTATGGAGCAGCGGCAGCAACAGATGATGTCTTTCCTGGCAAAAGCTGTTAACAGCCCTGGATTCTTTGCACAGTTTGTACAGCAGCAAAATGACAACAATAAGCGCAAGATGGAAGGAAAGAAGAAACGCAGGATTAGACAAGATTTTCCTTCAGATGATCATTCTGTTAGGCCTGCTGATGGACAGCTTGTGAAGTACCACCCTATAATGAATGAGACAGCGAAAGGAATGCTCACACAGATAACAAAACTAGATTCTTCTCCTAGGTTAGAGAACTTCAGCAACAGTCCTGAAAGTCCACCGATTGGTGATGCATTTGATGGCAGAAGTAACAGTCGAATTTCAGGAGTCACTCTTCAGGAAGTTTCACCTGCTTTTTCGCAGCCGTTTGCAAGTACAACTTCAGCTATTGCAGGACAAAGTTCATTGTCTGCCAACATTCAGTTTTCAGAGAGCAGTTCCCCAATTGGAGCTCAAAATTTGCCACCTATTGTACCGTTTTCATCAGATATGATTATGCCTATGCCCTCACAGTTACAAGAAATTGTGCCTGAAAACAATATGGATATTAATGGAACAGAGAGGGGCAATGATTCTTTCATGGATCCCACATTGTGGGGAAACGGAGAACTGCCATTGGAAAATGATATTTTCCCCCCCGACCTTCAAATCAAGTGGGAAAGTGCTTTGGTTGACGATATTGGAGAGCCTCCTACTGTTACTGATCCCTCCTGGGAAAAGTTTCTTCAAAGCCTATACCCTCCTACTGAGACAGAGGAGATGGGTTCGGTTGAAACAGAAAATGATAAGACTACTGAAACAGAGCTGCTAGGAAATGGATGGTACAATGTTCAGCATATGGAACATCTTACTGAGCAAATGGGGCTACTAACATCAAACACTAAAAAAGTATGATCAGTCACCGAGAAGATGTACCTGAGGTAATCCAGAAATCTCATCTCTTAGTGTATTGGGTCACGGGAAACTTCCCATAAGATAGTAGCTCTAATACCTATTTTCACCTTTGTCACTGGATTTTTATATATGGAAAAGCTTCATGATTCATCTGGATGAGTCTTATGGAGTTCACCTCCATTTTGTTGTTTCTTCTTTGCATAAAGCTGAGTCGATCCACCATGCTAAATGCCTAAATCTATGTCGGACACTTCCTTTTCCCCTTTATAATTTCTCCCTGTATAAGCTCTCCGGTCATTTAATTTCATAAGTACGTAGAAGTTATAAAACTTTTGATGTTGTTATTAGGAAGATGCCTTAACCCTTTGTTAAACTATAGTCTGTTAGCAAGTAATTTAGTACTATGTAGTTAATTAGATTCTCAGTCTTCAGTACAATTAAGAACCTTTCTCAAGGCGGCAATTGGAAAGGTCTGCCATTGTGGGAGAGAGAACTTATCCTGCATGTACCAAGTCAATGCAAGATTGAGATCCGTAGCTTGCTGGGGGTCTTTCACTGCAGATTTAAGAGAAACAACTTGGTTTTATTTATCCATTTTCATGCTCGTGTGTTCGGCAAAACTCTGAACATTTCCCAAAAACTATTTTCTGAAAAATGACTCATCTTTTGAAAGATATCTTCAGGTATCGAGTCGGAGACCAGAAACTACTTTTCAAGTAAAAACATTTATAGAAGATTTTTTTTTTTTTTTGAGATGGCATATATATTAAGATAACTATGATGTTGCAAACAGGAAGTGTTGAAATTTTTTTTAGTATTAAAGGATGATTGCAATGTATGTTGGTTGGAGCACTAAGAGTAAGGGTAGTCATTTTCTCCCTTTGGGTGGAAGATGTTTCCCTTGAAAATATTTCTTGTAACCCAACCCCAGAAAATGACTTTCGAATTTTCTTTTGTCTGGTTTTCTCTTTTCGAATTTCCTTTTGCCTTGTTTTCGTCTAATTTCGTCATTAAGTTCTATCTTAGCATGCTTTTCCTGTATGATCACTCATTGTATTTTCTTTGGATTAAGTAATGGTTAGGTGGTAATTTCCAGTTCTTCTAGTAAGAGTAGTTTCTTCAGCAAGTTGTATGTAGTTGGATGGCAGAAACTCGCCGGAGGACAACAAGGATTTCGTGTTGTTCTTTTTTGGTAACTTTACATTTCCAAAAGACGAAATACGTATACGATGTGGAGAAAATCCGTGTATTTTTTTTTTTGGTAACTTTTGCATTTACAAAAGACGAAATTCACACTGCAAAGGATAATTTCTTGCTGTAAAGTGCAAATAATAGTAACTTCTTTTGGAATATCAGAGTTTCAAATTTTGTGAAATATGTACAAGTGATTATTCAAATTTAAAAGAAAAAACAAAAACCGAGTATTTATAGGATATAAATATAATATACATACATTATATACAAGTATTTGACAACCAATTCAACCGTCCACTAGAATAGACTAAAACTGTGATTGGAAATCTAAGTCTACCAACGTTCGTAGCGAAATAAACCGTTCCTAATAAATCGCAAGTGTGGAATAAAAGAATCAAATACGAAATAACCTCATAACATGGTGATACTAAACATCTACCAAAACAACGTAAGATTGGAAAAACTGATGCAACTCTACGTCTAAAATAAGACATAAAACATAGTCTTACAATCCAATTTTGTTGAGGAGAAAACATATCATATTCTTTTTTGTCAATATAGATCCATCTATTAGTAAATAAGAGTATCTATACTCGTTATCGCTCGTCTGGGCTAAGTAGTTACATTAGGAGTACAATACACATTTATATCTGAAACGGAAAGGATAATTTCCTGAATCTAACAAAATCTCATATGGAATTCACGCTTCTGGAAAATCATTAGAGCAAAAATTAACAGTAAAAAATTATTCGTACAAATAATGCACAAGAAAACATTCCTCATTTTAATGTGGCCGCCAACTTAGATTTCTGCTTTCCAACTTCTACATGTTTGTGAAGGCGTCCTGTAAATGCACAGTAGTAATGCATCAAGTACACTATCATAATGTCACCTAAATGAAAAGAAGATTATCACCAAGTTTCCTAAATGAACGATGCTGTCATTTTTGCTATTCGTGAGCTACCTGGCCTAGAAATCCTGTGAATACGAGACCTAGGTCCATCAAACATCCAGCTATCTTCGTCTAGGGATTTAACCTCTTTGTTCAGTGAAGCCATCAGATCAGATTTGAGAACTGCAAACAGAACATTAATTCTCTGAATCAAAACTAAAACAAACTATATCATCAGCTAACAACTGAAAATTTCTCGAATAAAGAAAGTCTGTTGCATTATTGACCTAGTGTAGTTCATCTTTCCACTGGTAAGACGGTAGAAAATACGGCTAAGACTATGGCATTGGCTTTCTCAGCTTGATAAGAAAATTGTTTCGAACAACCCAAGAAGCCAAATTCAGAGACCAAACTTTTTTGACTAATTGCAAGCGATGTTATCTTATTCAAAAGGGGTGGTAAAGAACCGTTCATGATGTTTTGGTTGGAGTTTGCCTAGTTACATGACACTGCTCTGCTACCCTAAAGCTCCCACGTATAAACCAAGTACAGATGGCCTAAAACAATGGCAAAAACTTTTTTCCATCAGATAGAAAGTCACATGGACCATTTAGATCCTTCCTCAAGGGTAAAGGGCACGAGAAGATGAAATTGAGGAAATAAGCTCACTGAACTGACAACAGGTTACTTAATAATAATCCAAAAAAATTAGGTTCTTGCATCACAAGTTATCTGATATACCTGAACCAACAGCTAAAAGTTATCAAATATGAGTACTCTTCATGAAGTACTGACAGATTTAAGACAGTGTAGTATCGCATATATAGAGTATAAGGCACAAATTAAGTATCTTGCTACCTTATACGACACCATGCTAAATCCTTGATAAGATAGCTTTAGCAAAAAAATAAAAAAAAACCTCAATATAAAAGACATAACCTTCTGAAATACAGCTCATATTAGTTTTTCACCTTTATTTACTTTCACATACAAATAAGGAGCACTTATTGTCTACTTCATCATTTATCAAATGAACTTTAGGATGCGGAGGCTGTTCCAGATGCATGACTTTAACCATCTCGTCAAAAATTGAAAAAGAAATAACCAAAAAGTTGGACGATTTTACAAATATTTCTCTGCAAGAAAACATCTAGCAGAGGTTATAACAGGCAAATCTGATAGGATAAACAATGATATCTTGGATACGTGGTTCATCAATCACTGCACAATGCTTAAAAGGATCCTAATAAAACACGTCGTTTCAGTTATACTTTTTAAGTATTTTTTTGGTGAGTGGACACCCAGTGATTATTTCTAAACATGATGATGGCAAATGAGTCAGTTAGATGGTCGATTTCTTTTACTTCCATCTTAGAAAAATGGAAATTAAACCAGTTTGTAGGGAAACTAAGACACGTATTCAGTTAATATCTCTAGCAGTTTGTCTTCCGTCCAGCAAAAATGGAGTCAATGTCACTTAAATTTAAAGGAGCTTTCAGCATTTTCCATCAATAACAAAGAAAAAGGTGCCAGTATTTGAGTAAACGGAACACATCTACTTGAATTTTTCTCACATAAAATGTAAGACTAACTTAATCCTTTGATAACCAGTCTAACATGCATACTTTTAATGATTAACACACTCGAAACCACAATCATCATTCTCACTACCTGATCTCTACAAGAATAAACCAAATCACCATCACATTTCACCTATTTGAAACATTATCCCTATCATTTCCACCCATATAGCACAGGGTGTGATGCCTGATAATTTATGCAAACATTATTGCTACTTTGTCATTTGATCAGAAATATGATGTCCCTCAAATTTCACAAGAAGAATTCAAAATTAGACTTGTTTCAGAGAGAGTAAAGTCACTCAGTTTCATTATTAACATGTGAATTTACTCAAACTTATTAAACGGTACATATCTAAACCAACCATTTATAACTATCGAGCAATAAAAGTTATAAGAATGGCCCTCTAACTTGCTTTTTACTTCTTATAAACAAAGTAACCAACACTCATTATCTACTTTATTAACAACAAGAAGATCAATCTAGATATATGACACAGGTTCCTTGCAAAAACTTTTGATTAGGGAATACAACTTCATTTATTGCATAATAAAATCTGTCCACTGAATCATAATAACGAGTACTCATTATACTATTAAAGAATAAAAAAAAGGTAAGAAAAAACACTTAAAACCAATGAAACTTATTTGTTTTCACTGGAACCTAGATATAGAACAATATACACATGCTGATGATACACAGAAGTATAAAACTAAAAATTGAGCTTTATCGACATTTCCCCAACTAATAAAACATATTAACACTCTCAAGGCTAGAGCTTTGTCTACCAGCATAACTTTACTAAGTTTCAATATACAAGCAACTTCTTGCAATAAAATTTGTAGGCTAGAGTAAATATTCAATAACTTAAGATAATCAATTACTCATATAGTCAACATACAGTACAAACATGCCTAGCTTGAGGTTAATCAGCTATTTTGCAAAATAACTTGCTCCATCTTTTTACAAGCAATCAGATTATAACATGAAAACAAATATAACTATAACTGATAAACTAAAAAGGTTAAACAAAAAGAAAAAGTAGATGCGAAAAATTGTACTGACCTTGAAGAGCCTCATCTTTGCGGTCTTGAACGGAGATGAGATCAACTGGAAAATTGAAGTCATCAACAGCTGTAGACGATGGCGGCCCGACATTTCCTCCGATCATCGCCATTGTCGAACTCGATGACCTCGCCGGTGACGACGTCAGCGAACTTCCAGTGCTCATTTTCCCTCCTTTCGCCTGAAAATTCAGATTTGTGAGTCCCCAAACCCTATGTATGCGATACAAATTAAATTTTCGAGAAATGACAAAACTATTTCCCTATGTTTGAGATAACATTCAAAATGGTCCTTTTAAGTATCTAAAATCTGTCGCTAAGTTAACATTTTTAGTTTCCGGTAAGTATTTTTAATGGTTGTGAAAATAAATGTAGGGGCGGATGAAATAGAATTTTACTAAAATCATTAAATAGGTAGCATTTAACGATTCTATTATAGATTTTTAATTACATACATATTTATTTAAATTCATTAAGTGATTGTAAATAAAATATAAAATAAATATGCTTCAAATGATTATTACTAAATTTTGCACTTACAGAATATATTTAATAATTCAAATTTGAGTGGTAAAAAACTCAGACTTTACTAAATGTATTAAAACCTACCTAAGAAAAATTAACATTTCGTTAATTGCTTCTCAATTCTCATGAAAATTTGATGTTTTGATACAAAATAGTGATTAAAGTGGCTCGACAGTATTAAAAAAAAGATGTGTGTCTTAGATCCTTAAATTTAAGGGGTTTCATTTTGAAAAATAATAAATTATAGGTTATTTTTAAAAAAATAAATAAATATTGAATATTATTTGCGAAAAAAAGTAAACTTCTCATGAAAAATGAACGATTTATAAAAAAAAAATGGTATATTTGAAGTAGTATATCTCATGAAAACTAATTAAAAATAGGAATAGTTATATTATGAATTGAAAATTAGAAGAAATCAATTATATAAAACTTATTAACAACTCAAGTTTAAAATTTCGTTAATTTTTATTTTGGATTACTAATATGCTTGAGCCGTTCCTGTTAGTGATTTAATATCACATTTATACAACTCTGACATAATTCATAAGTGGTTAAATTCGTTGGAATAATATGCCCAGGAATAAAACGAAATGGAAAATGGAAATCCATAAAATTTAGGTTCATTTAAAATTGAATCCCATAAATATTAAATATATTTTTCATGAACTTATATAATATTATTTTATTCACAAAACTTCATAAAAAAAATCACTTTATTTTATTTTATTGACTGTATTTATTTACTTTTATATATTCATTTTCAGCATAATATCCCCCAAAAAAAAAACTCAGTAAGAAAAATGAAATAGAAAGAAAAAACAGAAGAACTGGAATAGGATCTGATTTGTTATCCTCCTTCCTTCTCCTTACAAGACACAGATCAGCTGAATTGAAACGAAATTAGTGATTAAAATTCCCCTGTAAGAGGCTATCTCTGGTAAGATTTTCATCAAATTCAGCTTTGAAGTTTTCTGGGTTTTTTTTTTTAACTTCAAATCGATAACCCCATTGTTATCTGAATCTCCTCAATTTCTGGTAATTTTTCGCTTCAATTTGATTGATGAAGCTTCTGTTATCATCTGGAAATTGAAGTGTGATGATGGATTTCACCCTAAAAATTGAATCTTTATCTTGTTGCAATGCTGCTGCTACCTTTTTTTTTTTTTCTGAAGGAGAACAATTTCATGTAGATTTTGATGATATTGCCGTTATTTTCTCTATTTTATCAGCTACTGTATTGGTGTGGTTAATATGTTGATGTTCTTTGGGAAGTAATATTTTTGTTCTTTCTCCTTTTATATTGGAGCCAAGATTGAACAAAGAGTTGGGTTTCATATAGAGATGAGGATTGAATCCGAATACTAGGAAACACAATAGATTCAATGTTGTTATGAATCCCAAAGAGCTCAATATCGAGCGAAAATGATTCTTTTGTTGTTACTCTAATTAGATATAATATAAGACATTCTTACGAAGTTATTACAAAAACATACAAGCATAAAAATAATGAAGTGGGTTGAGAATCAGGAAATTCTAGCGGAGGTAAAAACACTAGGTTCTTCCCAATTGTTTAAGCATTGATGGACGTAGTTATCCGGTGCTTGAGCTGGTGGGAGGTCACACATCTTCATTTACTTAACTAACCATCTTGATAATGTAACTAACTTGAATAATACTAATCTCCCCTCTCAATATGAAACAATAATCATCTTTTGAGCATACTTTCAGCTGTACTTTTAAGTGGAACCGGTTATATATTGCCTTTGTCCTGCCACAATGATACTTTGAGTTGCATCTCATAATCTTCAATTTATATTAGTAATGGGAAGTTATGTATAGATGTAGGAAGTTCTTTCAATAGAAAATCACCTAATGTGACAATATCTGATGAGTTGTAGTAGAAGTTGTTTGTTGTCAGAAGCATAAATGTATAACATATCTAATATCTATCGTGTGTAATGGAGTCGTGCCTAATGTCCATGCAACCTTCGCAGATTTACAATGGAACTTCATGAACTTCTGGCACGATCTTCGACAATGGTCATCGCAGTGATACTAATTGCTAGGATCAGCTCATGTCTCAATACTGCAGTATTAAGTGAAGTAAGTAAACCAGCTGCTAAAATATCTCAAGATGTGCAATTATTTCTCGATACATGTATTTTCAGTGTTGGTAATATTTGAATTTACAGAAAACTGTAAATGGATTGGTACTTCCAAGAAAACTTTAGACTCAATTTAATCATGCAATCATTAACTTCTTTCCATTATTCACCAGATTATCTTTTTTCTCAATCTTCTTCAGGTGCATGCACCTTATGTTGATAATTATGTGTCAAAATCCTACTTTAACAAACATGACAATTTGGTAGATTCAAAGTTTGAAGATTTCATTGCACATGACATATTGTACGGTGCATGTGAATCACTGCAAGGAAACGTCGAATTTTCACCAAAACTGTCTGCTTTACATGGAAAGCTGATTGGTGAAGGCTCCCATCGGCGTCTGTCATCAACTCTCAGATTGAAGATGTCATCAGAGTCCATTTCCATGCCTCCAAAATCTTGTGAGGTTATAATTGTTGAAAGACTGCCTTCTGGAGTCTTTGCAGATCCTTTTGAGCTACAACACCTTGTTCAGCGTGGTGGTAAATTACTAAGTATTAGATTTTATGGGTTTCTAACACTGCTACCCGTCATTTTGAGGCTTGTTGTTGTCCACGTTTTGTTGTAGTTTTCAGGGATGCTGCCGTATTTGGAGATACAAATTTAGAGTTGCCTTCTTTTCTGTCAAACCGCTCGCTTGTTGAGGTTCATCTGGAAGTGGGTACCAATTTAACATCACAACAAAAGGATGAACTGGAAATACACATGGAACTTCCTCTACATGCACGCTATCAGGTACATCACATAAATGATCCCCAAAATTATGTCGGAGTCTCTAAAATACGTTCCAGGCATCCAATGTAGTCAGTCATTTTTACTCCCCTGAAATTGAAGTTGATACTTGTACAAGAAAAGATGCATTAAGTATGTAGGAAGCCATGTACATCTGTTAAGCTTCTCGACTTTATTGTAACATCCCGGCTTCTTACTGGCAGCCACTAGGACATGGATTCTCAAGAGTTCAATTTGCTTCACCTGACTTATTTCTGCGCTGCAACATTAAAAGAAAAGAAGATGACACGGGCTGTTTGTTTCTGCTTGACAAACAGAATGCTGAATCAATTGATACTCACCCTGTGTGGGAAGTACCATGTGGAAATCGAGAACACACTGAAGTTGTATCTGCTTTTACATTCATCTCAGCTGTTTTATCAGCTCTTCTCATCATTGTTGCCTCAATCAAGTACTCTGATAATGCATCTAATAATATCTTAAAACAATCATGAGTAATTGATAAAAATGTAGCAAGTTTTTTCTTTCCCCTTTTTGGACTAACCATTGGCAAGAGAACCTCACTTAATGCTAGGTAACCTTTATCAGTATACGCCGTTGCTTATCTATTTTTTGAAATGGTTTGCCATTACTAATTTTTCAAATCAACTATTATGTGAAGAGTTTGTTTTTGTTGTTGGTCACTGATTTGAATCCAATTATCTGACACAATCATAATATCTGTCTACAAATCTGGAATGGTGTTGAAAAGGTTGGAAACTCAATATACTGTAGCACAACAAGAAAGTGATTGCTTATTAGAGAAATTATAGACTAGTCAAACAAGAAATATTCAAAATTTGTTACATCATTAAAAAGTAATGGAGAAACAAAAATATGATACTGCTTAAAAATATAAAAAACTTTGACTTTGATTTGGTGGGGTGCGCCAGGCCCTTGCAGTAGTGCAACGCATGGGCGACGCGCAAGAGCCCAGGTAGCAAGCTACCTTAATGGACTCTTCCCCTTAAAAAATTGAGTTAATATCGTGTGAACCAATGGTCCACATATCAGATATTAAACTGATAAGAACAGATACTACACTTGATCTTAGCCAAAAGGCCGAGAAAGGTATGCTTTGACAAGTAAATGAGCATTCATTTAAGTAGCGGTTTTCGGTTGTCTTCACATTATCTTATTACGATGTGGTACATGGTAAAGCTCTATAAAAATATCCTCATTGTCTTTGTTTCATCGATATCAGCTGCTGCCTCCTCACATGGAAATGAATACCTGATGATCCAGCTTCTCAGTTATATAAACAACTTGCATAAATATGGAGTAATGTACTATGCTTAGAACAATTAAATGTCTTTAAGATTTATATTCAAGATGCACAATTGTTCATCCTTATATGCAGCTTGGGCGTTAGTAATATTCAAAATTTACAGAAAACTGTAAACAGATTGGTGTTGCTGATGAAACCTTAGACTCAATTTTACTAATGCATATTTACGTTTTCCCCGTCTTCTTCAGGACCATGCACCTAATCTTGATAAATTATATGTTACATAATCCTAATTTAACAAAATGAAAATTTGGTAGACCCAGTGTTGAAGAGTTCACTGGACGACTGAAACATGACTTGTGAGACACTAGGACATATAAACATCATATTGTTAAGCTCATCGATGCCAGTGAGCCACTTTGACTGTCCAAAAGAGAGGAGAGAAGAACCTCCTGCAAGTATCCATCCTCCAAAAGGAAAACTCATTCAGCCATTAAAACTGTTTAAAAGCTGTGAGTAATCACTAGTACCTTGCATGTAAAGGTTTAGAAGATAATTAGAACTGCCCTGAATGATAGGTCTGTGTGCATTTGAAAGATATCGTAAATTGACAATAAAATGTGTCACCAATTAGCAAACTTCAAATCAAGATGGCTTAAGACATTTCTAGTGCCAACAAAGTTAGATTCCTCACATCTCAGGCACGCGTTCAACAGCACCAGTGAAGGATGTTTGCTAGACAAGAACAAATATTTTTTTTGGCAATGTATGATATACCCTAAATTTAATATGATCCAAGAATTTAGTTCTTCCCTTCACATGTAAAAAATTATGCAGTGAAAGAGCATAAAAAGCAAACAGAGCAAGGTCTACGAGGTATCCACAATCTTACTCTGTGGTACATAATTCAATAATAATATAGGTGTTTGAGCATTGAAGTATTTCCAATTCATTGTGACCTTTTTATGAGCAAAGTACCACAATTGCTGAACCTTTCCCTTCCTTGAGAATAATGACATTTGGATCTTTCTAATATTTGTGATGCGCGCAGTTACAAATGACTATGATTATGTTTTCTCTGAAAATGGCCTTGTAGCACATAAAGATGGCAAGCTTATTAGGAAACAGGTAATTCTAATGACTAGAATTTGATATCGTATCCGTATTATATTACTTGTGAATTCATATTCATTCTGTGACAAAACAAAATCTCGGATACTATATCAACTCAAAACAACATCCTTGTTGCCACTACTTAAGCACTTTGTACCAAGTTAAAAAGTCTCATGAAAATTGGAACTACTGAACAACTTGAAGAAATTTTCTATCTACCCATCTTCAATGTGCATTGCTTCTTTCGTTCTCCTTAGTTGTTGATTAGCAGGGCGATTTGTTTTGAATTGACACGACTTCCTGGTATGCGGGCAGAGCTTGTTGTCATATCTTGGAGATGAGAAGCTCAAGGTTAGTCAATACGTTTTTCTTATTTAATGAGAAAATGTTTTATTTTTGTTGTATTGTAAAGAGGGGAGCATACCCAACCAAGTGCAGTTCGATAAAGGCTTAGTGATCCTTCTAATTATTTGTTGTTTAGCTTAAGAAAAATAATTTCGTTGAAGTGATAAACTTGTCTCTGCGTGTATGCCTTCATCTATAAGATGAAGAATAATTTGCCTAAGAGCAAAAAAGAGAGATTACTATGTTATTTGTACTTTGTTAAAAACTGCTCTAAGGTGGTATTTCGTAAGTTTTCAAATCAATGTTTATAATAGTTAATAAAAATCTGAAAACTAAGTTTTTACAATTGTGTATGTTAGTTGCGTATAATTGGGTGAGAATTCATGTTTATAGCTTAGGTTCACCCAATTGAAGTAGAAATGAGTTTATATGTAGATGGCCAAGAATCTTGATGGGATGCAAATGATATGCATGAATTTTTTAACTTTACCCTCCATTACGTTGCTGACTTGGATATTCCAATAAAGAGGTAAGCATATCAAATTCTGTGGTGCTTGGATCCTCAAAAAATGTCGCGCATCCATGCCAGTCTGTCAGATCCTCCAAAAATTGTTTTTTGGAGGACCTGACAGACACCCGACAACATTTTTGAAGGATCCAAGCAAACATAGACCAAAGGTTAAATTATCTGCTTCGTTGTGACAAACTTCTTAATCATTCTTCTTTGTAGAGGAACATTCATTGAGTTCAGAAGTCGCATGCTAAATGTGTCGCCTCTTGGGAGGAACTGTAGCCAGGGACGAATTTGAAAAGTATGACAAGGTATAGATAACTGCTCTACTATTGCATATATGTTTTGCAGTAATGTACCTGCAATAGATTCTTTTTCTCTGTGATTTAAAGACAATTGAAACTATAATCAGGTACAAAAGATGCGCGAAACATTGGTATCAGTGCTTAGAGAAAAGTTTGCACATTTTAATCTCACCTTCTCCATTGGAGGCCAAATTAGTTTCGATGTGAAAATCTTTTAGCCTTTTCTTGTTCTCATTGACCGCTAAACGTTTTAAGTATTTGACAGATGATTTGGGGATCTTGATCATGATAGGTTTTACCCCAAGGTTGGGATAAGACTTATTGTTTGAGATACCTTGAAGAATTCAATGAAATTCACTTTTTTGGAGACAAAACATACAAGGTAATCTTTTAGGTACTGACATGCTTGAAGCTTTCTTATCATGTCCGCGCAAATATAAGAGTCCTGCTTTACATGGAAAGCTTATTGGTGAAGGCTCCCATCGGCGTCTGTCATCAGAGTCCATTTCCAGGCCTCCGAAATCTTGTGAGGTTATAATTGTTGAAAGACTGCCTTCTAGAGTCTTTGCAGATCCTTTTGAGCTACAACATTAGATTTTATGGGTTTCTAGCACTGCTACCCGTCATTTTGAGGCTTGTTGTTGTCCACGTTTTGTTGTAGTTTTCAGGGATGCTGCCGTATTTGGAGATACAAATTTAGAGTTGCCTTCTTTTCTGTCAAACCGCTCGCTTGTTGAGGTTCATCTGGAAGTGGGTACCAATTTAACATCACAACAGAAGGATGAACTGGAAATACACATGGAACTTCCTCTACATGCACGCTATCAGGTACATCACATAAATAATTCCCAAAATTATGTCGGAGTCTCTAAAATATGTTCCAGGCATCCAGTGTAGTCAGTCATTTTTACTCCCCTGAAATTTAAGTTGATACTTGTACAAGAAAAGATGCATTAAGTATGTAGGAAGCCATGAATATCTGTTAAGCTTCTCGACTTTATTGTAACATCCCGGCTTCTAACTGGCAGCCACTAGGACATGGATTCTCAAGAGTTGAATTTGCTTCACCTGACTTATTTCTGCGCTGCAACCTTGAAAGAAAAGAATATGACACGGGCTGTTTGTTTCTGCTAGACAAACAGAATGCTGAATCAATTGATACTCACCCTGTGTGGGAAGTACCATGTGGAAATCGAGAACACACTGAAGTTGTATCTGCTTTTACATTCATCTCAGCTCTTGTATCAGCTCTTCTCATCATTGTTGCCTCAATTAAATGCATCTAGTAATGTCTTTAAACAATCATGAGTAATTAACAAATGTAGCAAGTTTTTTCTTTCCCCCTTTTGGACTAACCATTGGCAAGAGAGCCTCACTAACCTTTATCAGTTTAGGCCGTTGCTTACTATGTTTTGAAATGCTTTGCTGCTTTTGCCATTTACTAATTTCTCAAATCAACTATTATGTGAAGACATTGTTTTTGCTGTTGGTCACTGATTTGAATCCAATTATCTGGCAAAATCATAACATGTGTATTGTTTTTAGTTAGAATTTTCTGTATACAAATTAATATCTGGAATGATGTTTGAGAAGGTTGGGAACTTGCAAATGCTATGTTACAGCAAAGACCAAAATCTATGTTGTCTGCCATTTTGCCTGCGTTTTCTATTCGTCTCAATAACCAGTGGTGTTTTTACCATAACTCAAAAAGCAGACAAGAAAAATAATGATAACCCTAGTTAACTGCTCCTTTTAATCCATCTTTTTTGACACAACCTTGAGATTATCACACCCTAAAAGCTCGTAATTACAGATGGGAGAACCCAGGGTTATTCAAGTTCCCCCACAGCTCAAGAGCTGATGTGGGACTCAACCCCAATACCTTGCACAAAGTGTGTGTGTATGGGGGGGGGGGGGGAGGAGGGGGGTTGTTTCAGCTGGAATCATGTTTACGTGTTGTTGCTGTTTCCAGGATTTGTAGATTTGAACCTAACATAGTGTTTGTTTCTAGCTGTGTACGTGCCTCCAAAAGATTGCTATTTGACAACG